AAAGACTTTTGGAAGACAAAATGAAGTTATATGATATTTATTCAACCTATTTCATGTAAGGTGATGAAGGATTTGGTAGTTGAATCTTCCCATAATGATATGAGCATAGCTGACGATTCCATTAAATTTTACATATCTTTGCTTCCCAAAAAGGTGTTCTCATCCAGGGTGGACTGCAGTTTCGATCTCGCCTAGTTCTTATCAGCACCCCCAGCGGGAGTCGAACCATGACATTGTAGCGTGTAATCCCGAAATTTTTATCACTACGCCGCATTGCCACTAGTACCCTTGAGTCACAGTGCAAATGTGAATTTCAACGAAGGCCAGGCATTTTCGCATTTGATATTCTTTGGTGGGAGTGTCGATGTAGCAAGTTGTATTTGCTATGATAATCGACTACATTACTTATTTTTCGTTTGTAAGTAGGGTTTCGAGACTACCAGTAAATCAATTATATGCGATGTGAAATTAAGTAGCAGCGTCAGCTCTACTTTTATCTTTATTAAGAAATTCAACTACCAGTTCTTCATCACCTTAAACGTAATAGAGTAAATACATTTTATATAACTAATTTGCTGGAAATCTTAAAACTCTAAATGTAAAGGAAAGCTAGGATGAATTAAAATGAACAGTGGAGTTTGCTACTCATTTCGCTGTGGGAAAGAGAACAATCATCTCTTCAATCTCCTTAACTGACAAGATGTGATTAAGGCTAGCATAAAATCTCTAATTAAAATTTCAAAACTGACTTCCAAAGCATATAAATGATATTTATTGCGGCTTTAGAGATGATTGCAAATTAGTTGCCTTCGCAGAATATTCTAAGAGCATTGTTCTGGTTAGCCTCAATCGTGTGCACTAAAGCGAGAAGAGAAAATCACTCAATTGAAGTGCACGCTCCCAGCGAAATAGCCAAGACCATTTGTAAACTATCATCAAGTTTATGAAACGCGGAAGATTAATCTATACAGGAGAATTCAGAAACAGTCTTTAAAGACACCTCGGGGTCTGCAAGATCCTATAGTTATCGCTATTAGGTAATAATTCCAACAATTTAGCTGATTCATCTCCTTTACTTGCCTCAATAAGTTCCGAACGAATACGAGTCAGCTCTTCCTGAAGAATGGCATTATCGTGCGTGACGCGGGCCGACTCTTCAGTCAGTTGGTTGCACATGTACTTCTCCTTTTCAGCCATCTCGGTAATGTCGGCTAGCCGCTGTTGTAGCGCTTCAATCTCTTCCTGGATGTCGATAAATGACGGATACAAACAAGTAGGCCATATGTTTAGAAAAACAGGATGAAGGATATAATGTTCGTACCTTTATTTTCTAGCTAAGTTAAAAACAATGGGTCGAACAAATGCCGATTAAGCAACTTGTATATGCATGCATAACAAAGTAAGGAGTATGCTCTGTACTTGGGTGGCCTTTTTTCGAAAAAATTAGTCCTGGTGCATCCTTGTTTTCCCTTCGCCTCGTGCATGAATTCAATTTTACAGCAAAGGTATATATTCCTTATCATGTATCTGGTAGGTTTGAACATCTGGGGTTTTCATGTGAACTCGAAAGTATACTCCAAAGAGCATAGACTTGTCTCTACCTCAATGCATTGTCGACAAATGAACTATTGCCCGGAATGAAACGACTTTGATTTGAAAATAAAATATACCATTTTGAGAGTTGAACCAGCCAAATGTATCCGTTATCCTTCATATGATACTTCTGTGTGGTATATTTTCTTCAACATACTCCAGTTACATTTGCCGTCCTCTCGACCGATGAGGATACTAGGCATCACCTGCACGCCTAAACTAGCTAATTGGTATGTGGAGCTCATTCTCCAGCAACAATTGCATAAGATCATTCAAAACTAGCCTCAAATATGTGTTTGAATGATAATAACTGAAGTTTATTTTGCTGATATAAGGTCTGTCGCCAAAGAATTGAGACAAAGAAGGTTTTCTATCTCATACCCCAAAGGCATTCTCCCTCAGGGCGTTTTACAGTTTAGTCTCTTATAGTGTCATGTGATCTAAAAGTTATGCAAAACGGAATGAAGTGAAGAGAAGGTCCAAGTATGAATTGTATCCACTTGCGAGATACCTCTCAACTATGCGGTTATTTACATCTATAAAAAATGTGGGTCGAGCGAAGTCAACTTTGTCTTATTTATCCGGTAACTCAACTGGGCAAGGTTCATGTGACTTAAGTCTTGGCGTGATTGTCTCTGGCTCACTATATTTACGGTTCGAATCCCGTTGTGGATGCCGATCCAAAAATGTAACTTTTCATAAAAAGCTTGGGGGAGAAAAATCCTTAAATTATTAAAAAATTAGTTGCTAGATGGCAACTTAATTGGAGCCTC